CAGGGGATGCAAACTGGAGATTTGAACCTACTTCCCCCCCAAAGGATTGTTTGAGCTTCACACTGAGCAGGGGATGCAAACTGGAGATTTGAACCTACTTCCCCCCCAAAGGATTGTTTGAGCTTCACACTGAGCAGGGGATACATCTCCACACGAACCGTTCAAGTACCTCAGGAAATCCAAGTGGCAGTCAGCTCCACTGCTCCTCAAAGAACCAACTTAATCTGGGTAAACCCTGTCTGCCCTCCAACGAGTCAACCAATTTCTGGAACAACCCACACTGACCGGATTCTAGGAAGGACACCTTTTCTGGAAACGTGAGTCCAGTTGCTGTTTCTGCTTTTGCAATCGTAGCTCAAATTTCCCACTGAGCCTGAACTAAACACTGAACTTCCCTTCTCACTTTCCAGTGACGGTTCACCAGCGTTCTGAGTAACACTGGACCCATCTTGACTAGTTTTCAATAAAACCTGTTATACCTTCCCCTGGTTTCTCTGAGTGGTTTCCTGCATGTGGGTCAGACCGATGAAAAAGATCATGACACTTCCAGTGTACGCCTTCGCATGAAAGAATCTCCCAAAGGCGCTTTGGCCTTTTTTCTCTCTTCTGAGGCCTTTCTTTTCTTCTCATACACTTCGTAGGCGTTTTTTTCACTTACGACCCTCTGCTAATTTCAAAGAACCACGGTGAGAAAGGTGACTTTCAATGACTGTCTGAAACCGTAGTTCACCACAGATATACGTGTGAAAGTGGGCTTGCGCAGAAAAAGATAACTAACGGGACGTTAGGACGTAGGACGGCCTCATGTAAACATATCACCAGAATGATTGACAGTAAGGAGGACCACTTATTTAGAAGATCCACTCGGAAAAAGAAAATCCTCCACTATACCTTTAAGACAAATTTACAAACAGCTTACGTCAACTGAGTTAAAGTTGATTCACATTATTTAACTAAAATTAACTCCAATTAATTCAACACAATCTAATTACCTAAGTTAAACTCAGCTCATCTCAGGCGCATCTAATAAAAAACATTGCATGTTGAGATCAATCTTGTGAATATTCCCTCGCCTCTGAAGTAAGACATCAAAAGCACAGAGAACAGAGTAAATCTTAGTGTTTTCAGACAGAGGGAAGCATAAACCAGATGTGACCCAAACACATGGATGTAATTTCTCCATTGCTCATAGGAAAGGAAAGAACAGAGCATTGAAAAGCAGAATCCAACCGAGGAAATTTCACTGAAATAAATGGTACCTTCATGACATATCAAATGACACATCAAATACACTTGGTCATGAACGCTCCTAGAGTCTGATCTTTGATTCTAACAGCTTCTGTCAACGCTTGTTTCCCACCCTGCAGCCTGTGCTGGCTGGTTTAGAGTTGGGGTACTCACCTCCATCTTCCACTTGGCCATCAACTCCTCCCTGGTTCGCTTGCTAATGTAATAAGGGTCACCAGCCTGGAAGGTTATTCTGGGCATTGGCCTCTGTCGAAGGCTGATCTCCCAACCAACTCCCCCTCGTAGCCTGCCTCGACCTCCCTGTTTAAGGTATGGAAAAAACAAATTAGCTACTTGTTTTTTTTTTTTAAATCAACCTACGAGCTGAGTAGAGCTTTCTAGAAGCTGTGCACTTTACCACTCACCATATTCAATAAGATGCAATCTGAAATGAACAGTTTAACTGTCTGACTGCTTTAATATTAAGACAACTGGTTGATTTTTTAAGGGAGGTCACAGCGTCTAAGAATTTTGTCAACAAAAAAATACCGGAGCAAATTTTCCAGGGATGCCCCCAAGTGTATTTGATATTTCACATCTATAGACCACTAGGTACCATTTCTTTCATAAGGTCAAACAAAGAAGAAGCAGAGACATACATAAACAGGTAATACATATATAATATATAATGATTTCTTCTTACATTACTTTTTTATTAGAGCACAACAGCAAAGGATCAGTATAAGCAAATGTCTTTAAAAAAACATATTTGGACCTTTAATGTGGATGCTTGAATCCTGCTGGAATATTTGTAGCATTTTAGCTTACACTGAAGTAGATATAAAGCATTACATTGGTAAGCCGATATTAATGGTTTTTATTTTATTTTATCTTATCGGCATCGATGCTTGCATATGTTTACCGATTCATTGGTGTGTTCAGCAACCATGCCTTCAGATCACATAAAGCACATGAACGGCTCCCTCCATTTGCTATTCCTTGTTCATGTTTGGTTTGATTTGTTAATGCATGTTTCTTTTTGTTTAAATAGATAGTTGTAAAAAATTTCTTATTACTGTTTCATTTTGATCATGTAAATCTGAGCAACATAAGCTTTGAAAATTGTCCTCAATAAACTGGCAGCACATGTCGTTGATCAGTTAGGCTAATGTCAAAATAATCAGCAATGGCCTTAAAAAACCTGCATCTGTTAAATTTATACACTAAAGCAAAATCTCCTAAAAAGCCAGACAGAGCTACTGCTTTTTAAACTTACAGGTAAGCTCTTAGGGTTCAACTCAGATTTCCAGTCAAGTTCCAAGTAAAGACACTAGCTGTGAGTTTGCCATCCAAATCTTTAACTATAAACAAGTAATTTAATGTTATATGTGATTCAGTTTAGGAGTATTGCTGGTTGCCATCAGTTATCAGCTCAAATCTGGGAAAGTTAAGGTTACTAACATGAAACTAACAACCCTGGTCTGAAGTTCTACGAGGGGTTTTAATTTGCAGTTCCTTCCATTATACATTTCTGCAAATAATAAAAATTGGTCAAGGATTTCCTATTTGATTTCTCGTTTTGGTTAGATAAATGTAAAACTGGTTATACTGGTGTGTTTCTGTTGTTTTTCATTTTTGGTGTTTGATGAAAAAAGCAAACTGCCTGAATCTACACTACCTGTTGTCATTTTTTTTTTTACTGGGAATTGGAAATTAACAAAATTCACATTAGATGAATTAATAAATATAAAGAAGAAACACTGTTTTTTACACAACTATCCTGCTTGTTTTACAAGGTCAAATATTTTCAAATCAAAGAACAAAATTCTAGTAAAGGTCTCTTGTTGTTAAAGCCCAAGTTGAGTTCCAAGTCTTTTGCGATATTGTCCAAACTTAAGTCATTACATTAAATAACACAACACCAGTCGCTGATGAGTAAGACTTTTAAAACTATTCCTGGGATACATTTTTATTTTGCTGGTACTAACTGTTTGTGTGCTTTCATTTTAAAATTAGATTTATAGGCAGGTCTGCTCCTAAAACAGCTTTACCAAGCAAACAGTGTCTCTCTACACTCATTAAGGTTTGCAAACATTTAAATGATGCCTTCTCCATGCATTTCAGGGAAAAGTCTGCCTACACTTATAGATATTTGTGTGAATGAAAGGAAAAGCAATAAAAACTGAAAGTGAAGTGTTTTATGTAGGAAAAATAGGTATGAGGAAGGATGATGGTACATTCAGTGCAAGAGAGAAAAAAAGGAACATGTTGTGCTGCTGGGATTATGAGACAGGAGTCAGGGATCTTAGAGAATGCATTTATAAATAATTTCCTTATTTAAATGATTATTTTAAAATAGTGATAAAACAGGTTATTTTTGTTCAATATTCAAACAAGACTGCATAGATGCATAGAAAAACAAACAGATTCCAAATGAATCAAAAAAAATGAGTCAGACATGGAAGGATCAAAATATATCTGCAGAGCTGAGGGGCTGATGTTTGTGAAGGTATCCAACCCCCCGAAACAGAAACTTTTTCATCTTTTCTACATTCTTGCAGGGAATGCTTTGCTGCACAACAAATACATCCAACTATTGAATGTTTTATTGTTTTAGGAATAAACTAAAATTTGCAATACAGTACAGTCAAGAGCTAAATTTGTATTGACCAGTTGAAGAATTTGGGGTAACGTAGTTTGTTTCAGGTTCTGGTTGATGACATCTAACCAAAAAAATTTAAAAAAGGGATGTAATCCTTTCTTTGTTCTACAGGCTGCAGTATTACCCATTGAATAAGAAACCCCATTTATTGATTCCCTCCAATTAGATTTTATCGACTTCACAGTTATGCATTCACAGAGTCGACCATAGTTGATAAAACAAACGTTATTGATAAATAACATTCAAAGAAATATCTGCAACCTAATGCAAAATATAAGCAAATAACTCGTAGAAATGGGGGAGATTTAAATGCTTAGTTATTATGGAATATTATGCTATGATATTCCATGGATGTGATCAGGGGTTGTTTGTCATGGTGCAGAATGTTATCAGATTTCTATTATAAAACTATGTAAATAAAGATAAGTGTGGATTATGTGGTCAGACAGAGTGATAATAAAAGCTTGCTAAAACACAACTTCTATCCTGATATTAAATGTACACAAAAGAATGAGCATTTATGCTACCAAAATTACCTAAATTAAATACTTATATCACTACTGTACAGATTTTCAAAAATTACTATTAAAAAAATACTTATATACATGTATATATATCATTATCTTTCATGAAAGCAAGATTGAAACTTGATTATATTCATGTTAATACATGGTCTAATTTTGTGGAAAGCAAGAAAAGAAATTGAAAGCATTTCAATGTGGAATCAACACAGTTAATGGTGAACATTGCAGCTCGTCTGCACTACATTCTTCACTAAAGCAATAATTTCATGGAAAAAAGTCACAAAAAATTAAAGGAAAAAATCCTTTTGGCATGACAAATATGAGAAATGGATTCACCAAGACGCAAACTAAAACAGACTGGAAAGCCACTGAGCTGGTGATGTCAAAAGGCAACCGCTGTTAATAAGTCTGCAATCTTCTAAAGCTGTTGGTAAAACTGGTATGATGTTTTATTCATATTTGATTAATTTAACCCCCATGCGCTTTGGCTAAATCAACACAAAGGGAGGACATCACTAAAGCATGCAGAGAGCTCAAACTTATGATGGACAACTAATGCCACAATAACTAAGCCTGCAACTATTCAATGTGCTAAAGGTGGCCGGTAAAATAGTCACAGAGATATAAATATAAATGTGCTTTGGCTAAATGAAGTAAAAAAGGAAAAACAAAATCAAAAATTGTGCATAAGGTTGGTATGAAATGTACAAAGCTCCAAACCCATTTGTAGTTATTTTGTCATGTATTCTATAATCTGTTTATTTTTACCATTTCAACAGAAGAATTTGTGGCTTTATTATATTAATACTATATTTTTGAAAGATGCACATTGAGCCTTTCAAGTTATCATCCTTTGCTATAAAAAAAAATATATATATATATATAGAATTGGTCTTTTCCAGAAAAGCATCCCTAATGTCGGATCTCTGTCAGCAGAACGGAAGGTGCTGCATTTTCCAACAACTACTGGTAGCTCTCTACAATTTCAAACAAACATCCTTTTTCTCCTTTATAACAGTCCTAAAGAGTGTAGTTTAAGAAATAAATATTTTGAGCAACAAAACACACAAAATCTTGTGTGAATAGGTGTGATGATCAAAAATAAATCCCAACTCCATAAGGGCATGCAAGGCACATAAACAACCCCAAATATTAGTAAGAGATTATTATGCCTAGAGTAAAATGTGGCGGTGGGATGGTATTCTGGGATTACTTTGGTTCAGAGTAAACGATGAACGAATGTTCTGAACCAAAGTAACCTCAGAACTAGGGGTGTAAATAATAATTGTTTTGTATCGATGCATTGATCCAACAGCCGACGATCCGATGCATTAATACGTCCGCAAGAGAATCGATTCATGTTTTTTTTTTCCCTCCGGTCTATTTTTATCCATTTGCTCCAGGATGTAATTCTCCCTCCCATGCTGCGGTGGCGCTAAACCTATTTTGCCCCTCCTACCGCGCTTCCTGGTTATACTCTTACATCAGTGTGTTGCAGTGAGCTTGATGCAGACATTTTTGATTTATGCTCAATATTGAAGCGTGGTCTGAGCTACACGGCCGAGGCGGTGAGGAAGTGGGGGCGAGTTTAGTCCGACGACGGAGGGACATGAGGGCCAAAAAGAGCGGAGATCCAGGTGGAAAAAGGGTCCCAGCGTTCTCACGCACCTCGCTCTTCTAGCGGGTCAAACTTCACGAGTTGTTTTCCGCAATTTCGGTCGTAAAAACTGCTATATTTTTTGATGCAAGGCCTTTCAGAATCTATAACGCAGGGGTATTATTATTTTTCAGTGAATGAGGTTTTAATAGGAATAGGTGGAGTAAAACTTTTCTACTTCTGTTATTTGCTGTTGTTTCTCAAATAAAATGTATAACGCTATTACAGCTTTCATTGATTTATTTCAAATTTGAATCGAATCGTTGTTTTTTCTTGAGTATCGAAAATAATCGAATCGTTGGGTCAGGAAATCGATACTGAATCGAATCGCCATGATGGATGTGATTTACACCCCTACTTAGAACTAAAGTCCTTTTATTTTCTAGATGGATTTCTAACACCAGCCAGTTTCAGCACAGAACTAGCTGTCTGCTAGAAACCAGTAAATGATGGTGAATCTTATTTTTCACACATGCAACCAAGCAAATAATAGCATGACTTGATGAGATCAAAAGTAAAGGTTTGGAAAGAATAAGCCTGAGTTAACAGATACATCAGAGTGAAGCTAAGGGACAGAGATCTTTTCTCTACCTATTGTTAGTATAGTCACTGTTTTTTAGTATAGTCACTGTATTATGATCTTTAAAGAGTGCAGCGCATGTGATTGGAAAATTGTAGCTTGTATAAAAAAATGTTGGCAGCAGCTATGAGAAAGAAATTAGATCTTTATGTACTGAGTTGTACACCTTTCTCTAGTACAGTAGGTCCCAAACATCTTTTGCTGGACCCCTTTGGTTTACGTTCTAATCCGCTTTTTATTACAGCCGAACAAAGAGAAGTCAAAGGATTTCAATATTGCTATCAATGATTACAGAGCTAAGCACACTATTCCCACCTTTTTTTAAGTTTCCAGTATCAGACTTGTACTGATCATTTGGGCAAATCTCAGCAAGAATGAAAAGAAAAAACAGCGAAACTTTATGTTTATTCTTCTTCATTTTAAACAAAGAAACTTTTCTTGTTGGAAAAAAGAACTACTGATGGAAAAGATTATTAAAGGCTGATGAAACAACTATAGACAGGAAGAAAAAAGGCGTACAACCGTTTTTATTGATCCAGAGATGACAACAGTGCAGAAATCTTACCTCAGTCTTGATTGTGTCACAACCATCGTCTTCTTTGTGCTCCACATCTAGAGGGAGGACAGGGACACAGTAAATAACCTCAATCATTCACAGAAGAAAGGAAAATGACAATCAGAGCACTTAGATTCATGCAAAGATAATTCAGATTCAATATGTCCCGCACCGTTTTAAATTTCTGGTACAAAATAATAAAACATATAACAGCTTTAAGTATTGACTGATCCTGATACTGACCTAAATCATGCATAATTGTATTACCTATTTTGTGGTGTGAGATGTCAGAAAACGCCAAGAGATCCACTAAAGAGGCGGGGCTATCCCTGTTGGTAATTGTAGCAATCGAATAATCAATTATTTCTTTATATAGAAATAAAATTGATCTAAAGCACACTGAGTAAATTAATATTTCTAAACAAAAAAATTTGGAACTAGAGAAAAAACCTTTACTGAGCATTTGAAATGAATCACAATTAAAAAAAAACAAAAACACAAAAAAGTTATGTTTAAGTTTATCTTTGAAGAAAGTCAACATTTTGTCTAATTACAGCGCTAGGTAGATTATTATTTAGGCAAATGTCATCTTTTAGAGTCTGTGTACCATTTCTCTAGGTAACGATATGATTCTTTTACCAAATGACTTCATGGTTATTTCAATAATAATCACAATAATTATTTCAGCCCTAAAAAGAACAAAGAACAAAGAGTTAAGAACAACAGTTATGAGAATTCTGAGAAAAATGGACCCATCTAGTATTCTCCATATAGTAACCAAACATTAAACAGAAGAGAAGGGTTTCTATCACCCTGCCAATATCAGAGATTCTAAAAGCAGGCTGAAATGATTTAACCGTTTTTTGTTAGAAAAGAATAGAATTCAACTTTATTGTCATTACAGCATCACAAGTACGGAGCAAAGAAATTGACTCTCTGGGCCGGATTTATCAAGATCCAATTTTGCGTGCAGTAAT